AATAGCCAGGACATGGAAGCAACCTAGATGCCCATCAGCAGATGAATGGATAAGGAAGCTGTGGTACATATACACCATGGAATATTACTCAGCCATTAAAAAGAGTTCATTTGAATCAGTTCTAATGAGATGGATGAAACTGGAACCCATTATAGAGAGTGAAGTAAGCCATGTAAGATCTTTTTAAATCTTCATTCCAAGGTAAGAGCCACAATCCTAAGGAACTTCTTTCTACTTCTCCTTTATTTCCACACTTGAAGAAAAATTTAAAAGATTCCAGGAAAACACTGTAATAGCTTAAAGGCAGAAAGACCAAATTTGAACTAGTAGGTTCAAATCATTTAAGGACATTAAATATTTGTCTTTCAAAGCTACAGGTGAAAGACATATCCAAAAATAACTATATATACATATATATATACACACACATATGTTTATATATGCTATATGTTTATTTTTTATATGTCTCCTACCTTATCCTCAAGTCATTATTAAAGTTTACTTTATCCTCACTAACAGAACAATTACATTTTATGATAAAATGATTCAAATAACTGACTTTACAAAAAAATAAGTTTCATGCATTCTAAAAGCATCTCAAGTAATGTATTATAACATTCGTGTTTTAAATATTAATAGAATTTTATTTGCATATATAAAGCAAACAGTTAAAAGATTTATCGTTATAGAGAAAATTATAACCGACAATCTTAACAATACACTGAATGGGTACCATGGAACATCACCTTACACACTGTGAAGTAGTAGTGATAACAGGATGCTTTGAGAGCAAAAGCGTGGGTCCTACTGTGCCATTCAGGGCTTACACTCGGGGCAGCAAGGACCCAAGGTGTGCATGCTCTGTTCAAACACTGGTCATATTCAACCCTCTCAACAAGGAGCTGCCAGAGCCTGGGCGAAGTTTCACAGGACTGCTGGCCCAGCTGTGTGGCCCGCTGAAGCGCAGGGCCTGCGGGACCCCCCCATGGGACCTCCAGGGCTGTGGCAGGGCGCGGCTCTGCTTCTCCCCCGAGAAGACAGCCTGCATTCAGCTTCCCAGCCCTGCAGCTGCGGTCCACCAACAGCTGGCTCACAAACGGCGGGCTCTTGTGAGGCCCAAGAATGAGAAAACACATCATTCAGTCTCCCGCACAGCCCGGGGAGCGGCTGGGGGAGAAGAGGGAAGGAGGCTGCAAAGTGTGGTGGCATTTCATCCAAGGAAAGAACCACCAGAGCGAGAAAAACTGAATCGGAGACAACTGGTGCCACGCTGAAAGGAGAAGTCCCTGAGAACACGAGCGCAGAGAAAGGAGGGACTACTGGTCTCCCAGGCCTCAGCAGACCCTTCCAACCCCAGCCTCACCATGAGACAGTTGCTAGAGATGCCTCCCATGGAACAGAAAAAGAAAAGACACCACCTCTCTGTTCTCAGAGGGAAACGGGGGAAGCAATACCATCTTCTGCCCGGGAGTAGCCCTGTGCCCCAGCCACCTGGCACCATCCATTCCCAGCTGAAGCACCGAAGCCACGGAGAAGTCAGCGGACAGCTTCTGTATAGCACAGGGATAGTTGATACCAGCTCCGCAGACCCAGGAGAATGACCGAGAAGCTTCAGTGCCCCAGCCAGCCATGGTCAGACCCACTCGCTCTTGGGCCACTTCTCACCACACTGTCATGCACAATATTAAGGTCGAAGTGGCTTTCTTTATTTCAGAGTCCATTCAGAGACTAAGTAGGCAGAGTGTCCCTCATGTGATCACAGGGGCAGCAGAGCGGACTCCTTGCATCCACCAACCGGGCGGCCCCTTGCTCACCATCAGCTCACCATGCCCACTCCCACAGGAGCAAGGCGGTCTCCCTGAGGCCAGGAGAGACCCCATTTCCTGTATCCTTCGCAGGACTTGGCAGCCCAGGCAACCAGTTTAAGTACTAAATTAACACACTATTGACCAGAGACGTATCAACACATCTTCTGTCCTGGAAACAGTTCAATATTCACTTACACAGCAAATCACTGGCCACCGGTATTAAGTTTCTGCAAAAATCCCCCAGTCAGCAACGAGCTAATACCTGGTTGGTGAATACCTGGCCTTTGTCGGCCTCCTCCTTCCTCTTGCTGTGGTCACATTAAAAAGACTACAGATTTTTTTTTCTTAGGTTTATTTTTATTTGAATAATTAGCTCCAATGAGTCCTTCAATCATGACAACTGGGATATAATTTTACTGCCTAGTGTCGTAAGTCCATAAGCAAAAAACCCAAAAATGCCTTAAGATGACTTTTAAAAACAATATCAAGTCTATTTTCTGCATTATCAATTACAAGTAAATAGCAGATATAAAACTCTTTACAAATTCTTGGTTTTGATACTTGAGAAGTGCTGGGTAGATCAAGAAGGAGATGCAGAAAGACAGATAAAGCCAGAGAAAGACATGAATGCACACCCACGCACACCCACGACAGACTACGCTGCACCGCTCGCCTTGTTTAAGGGTTTGCTGCCACACGCAAAGATTTTCGAATCGGATACATGTAGAGCAAAATTCTGCCTTCCACCAACTGTGTGTTCTTGGGCTCATTAGTCTTCTTTAGGCCTCAATTTCCTAAACTTTAAGATGATATCACATCATCTACCTCATGGGGTTCTTCTTTTCAAACATTCATTCAAATGTTTCCTGAAGAGTAAGGACGCATGCAAAGGACTTTATCCAATGCTTTTAACAGCAGATGTTTTCTGTCAATGATAAAATTAAATTGGCCTCTCACCTTTCTGTGTATATCTCTTTTCACATAATTTTTTATTTCCAAAGGTGATGTACTATATATATTAAAGAATTTAATATTTATGTGACTATTTCTACCCACAAAAAGTTAATAAATCAGACTCTGGATTCAAAAAATATAGTCACTGCAGTCATGGGCCAGATGAGATAAAAAATCAGACCCCTCCCTCCTCAGAGAATCCTATCACAGGCTTCCAACAAAAGTAAATTAAAATTAAAATGTGGTCCTAGAATATCTGTGCTATTAAAATTATCTTAATGAAATCAAAAGTCTATGAATCAGGGGGGAAAAGTGTTACATCTCTATCTTCATTAACCTTTAGCTGAAATTCAACATTACAATCAGTTATGAATAGAGAGGGGAAAAATTCTGGCTAATATCAGCAGTGCTCTTAGCTTTGTCACTGATAGGAATCAAAACTTTTTCCATAGCACATTAGAGTAGTTGCAGATCTTAAAATATCACTTATACTAATATTCTGAAATCACAGTAGGGATTCGATATTGATGATGACTTTATCTCAATTTTTAAATTAATATGTTAGAATGTTATTTACTGGTTTCCTTCATAGGCCTGTGTACTTTATTATAATCACATATTTCAAACACTGTTCTGAGAATCATCCCATATATGATTTTACATAAAATTATGAATAGCTTAAATCATAGTCTTATGGTTGAAAGAGGCAGTTTGGACTGGAAAGAAATCCCAATTATATGTCAATGTTAATCTTTCATTCAGCGTTTAAAACTTAAATTGTGAAACACGCTGAATTATCAGTAATGAATACCAAATATTTTGAAATTGGCAATTAGCCCACTGAATAAAACTACTTCTTGAATACAAAAATAAAAAAGAAGCAGTGCATAGAACTCACCAGACTATCAAAGGAATCCACCACAAACAAAAATGTTAAAACAAAAATCTGCCCTGGAAAGTTACAGGAAAAAAAAATTTTTTTTAACTAAGCAGCAAATAGCTATACACATATTTTTTCTTTCACACTTAAGTCCTTCTGCCACTTAATTAGGAGAAGCTCCTTAATCCTTGTTGCTGTCGCTAAGCTGTGTCTGACCCTTTTCAACCTCATGGACTGCAGCACACCCGGCTTCCCTGTCCTTCACTACCTCCCAGAGTTTGCTCAAATTCACAACCACTGAGTCGGTGAGGCTATCCAGCCATCTCATCCTCTGACATCCCTTTCTCCTTTTGCTTTCAATCTTTCCCTGCTACTCTCTTATCCACTACAAATCTGAGGCTGTAGAACAGTTTTGGTTAACATCAAGCCGTCTGTCATTTCCCTATAACATTTTCAATACTGAGTCTCAGAAAAAAGTGTGAAATAAAGTGATTCTCATTTATTTTCTAACAGAAACACCTAGAAAAATATAAAAGCTTCATTACGAATCACTATATTTACATTCATTGGATGCTGGTGTTAGAAAAACCTCAGAGACTGTATGGCGCAGATATCCACGAGAACTGTGAAGAGCCTCACTCCCCACCAAGAGGCTGTGAGCGCCCCAACACCGAGCCACTTGGGGTTACTAGTGCCCCCTGCTTTCTTGGCTTTCATGACATTCCAAACTCCAGTAATTCTCTCTGCCACTTCAAAAGAGCACTTATGCCCTAGACCGGTGCTTTTCAAGCCTAAACGTATATGTAAATGACCTGAAGCTCCAGTCCAAATGTAGATCACCAGACAGTGAGCCTGGGGTGAGGATCTGGAAACCCTCTCACCGCTAACAAGCTTCTGGGGGGTGCCAATGTTTCTGGGCCCTGGACCACCCTTTGAGCAGACGAATCAGAGACTAGGCATGCCTTAAAAACTGGTGCTTATCAATTCTGCCAGTGAGAGACATTAAAGTTAACCCAACACACACCATATCACCAGATGGTAAACAGTAATTTTGTCTGAAATCTGCATTTTCCTTTAAGAATTTATAGCACTGAAGCAGATCTACTTTACTGTACATACCTCTGTCTAAATTAAGTTTAACAGAACACTGCCATCATGCTGGTGTTAGCAGAAACGTCACAGGCCTTCTAAGCTACAGTGAAACATTCACCATGCGTCTGGGAGAACGCGATTCCAACTCCTATCTGTGGTATTATAAGGTGTATCCAGATTGAATACAGAATTTTATTAAAGAACAGTTTATATACAACAAATAGTTTAATATTGGAGTTTTCAGTTCTAGTTTTGGTGAGGGGAGGAAATGGTCTATCAGAGAAATGCATTAATCAATTTTTATAAATTTAGCTGTGGATATCAGCTACACTTCAAACAAGCTCCCCTTTCAATATAGCTGGAAGCAAAAATGACATTAAAATCCCTGGGCCAGATGCCAAATTCTATTAACATCAAAAACTCAAGACAGTATTTTCCCTTTAAAGACAATCCCAAACTCTTAATGATGGTTCCATTTTGACATGAATACAAGAACTATACAGACTTAGAATTCTGTGTATAAAAGAATAACACATTGCTTGATTTCACATATTTTTAACAAATTTTCCACAATAATATGAGTTCTCTGTAGACATTAAAAAGTTCCAACATTAATAATGATAGATTTTCATACTCAAGAGTGACGTGAAAGGCTTCCAACTGTAAGAGACACAGCACTACACTAAAATAAAGATTAGACTTTCCTCTCCTTGGAAAGTGTTCATACAAATAACCATGGCTTTACCTCACCTTCTCATTATAATATGTTATAATAAGTGACTGGAACATCTATAAACACAGATAATATTCAGCATAAAAAAAGTAGTTTAAATTCCTATATCCTGTAGCACTGCATTGGTGAAACTGCATGAGCTGAGTTAGTGCAACAATAATAAGTTTCTGTGGGGGAAAAAAAAAAAGACATGATACAAATTTATATTGGGGAAAATAAAGGTTCTTTTGCCCAGATGTCTTAAGAACTGGATTTTATCTACATAAGCAAGAAGGAATAAGAAAATTATACAACACAAAAGTTACACAGGAAAATCACATTATATATGAAATAATTAAATATTGGCAATGCCAATTACATGTGTGCATTCATTTTCTGCAAAGTATTTCAGAAAGGACACCCCACTGTTTATTCTCCCATTGTTCTATAGTTAAGGTCTAGATAACAAAGTGTGTGCCTAATTTTGTGGGCATTTTCATCCCAAATTTTGGAAAAGAAACTACAGAGTTAAAAATACGCAATTATGAGTTCTTGGTTTAACAGCTTTTTTTTGTCCATGGCAACCCTATGGAGAACCCCTCCAAACTTAACCTTCCCTTAATCCTGCCTTAATGACCTTAGCGTCTCTCTGATTTCAGTCAAGTCTTTTCATGGCTGAACACTCAGTCTTGTCACCACACAGAGTTCTCCACCTTATTAGAAGTCATCATTCCATTCTCAGATGCAATCATTTCTTCTCCTAAGTCTTCTCCCCATTTATTCTCACCATACCTGCCCTTCAACTTAGAACTTTCATCCCTCGGTCCCAGCCGTTTTCTC